CTCCGCTGTGGCCTCTGGCCACCGGAGTTAACCCACCGGCCTAATTGGCCATTAAGGCCCTAACCCACCTACTAACCCCCACTCACATACGGGCCCCACGTGTTTAATTAAAATAAATAACCATGTCAGTTTAGTCACTGGGTATGACATGTGGGACCCCCCTGTTAATTAAATCCTTTTAACTAAAAGCTATTAACTAGCAGTCTATGATAGGTGGGCCCCGACGCCCCTTTGACTGGTCAACGTGGACCAGTCAACTGCTGACTATGCACTGCCGGGTGCACTGCACCGGGTGCATCTAACAATTTTCCTTTTAAATTTCGAAATTAATATAAATTCCAGAATATTTAGAAAATGTTTTAAAAAAAACTTTAAAATTTATATAAAATAATCCGTAACTCGGATGGAAAAACTTTATACATGAAAGTTGTTCAGAACGACGAGACGAATCCGAATACGCGGTCTATTCATTCACCACACATCCCTAGCATAGCGAACATGCAACAATCCACCTCCGTTTCATCTGCCCAAAAACATCAAACATCGGTAATACTTTCCCGGATGTTTTCCCCCTTCGTCAGTAGCACCTACTACTATGTTAGGTCACCTCTAACACCGCTAATGCCATGTTACACTTTGTGATGCTTTGATTGCTCTGTTATTTATTGTGTTCCCCCTCCGTTACTTCTTTCCGGTAGACCCCGAGACTGCCGGCGACCCCCAGTTCGACTACGGAGTTGATGACCCTTCCTTCTTGCCAGAGCAACCAGGCAAGCCCCCCCCCCCCTTGATCACCAGATATCGCCTATTCTTCTCTATACTGCTTGCATTAGATTAGTGTAGCATGTTACTGCTTTCAGTTAATCCTATACTGTTGCATAGCCTGTCCTTGCTACTACTGTTGTTACCTTTACCTGCTATCCTACTACTTAGTATAGGATGCTAGTGTTCCATCAGTGGCCCTACACTCTTGTCCGTCTGCCAAGCTATACTGCTGGGCCGTGATCACTTCGGGAGGTGATCACGGGCATATACTATATACTTTACACTGTTACATTACCTGTGGTACTGTTCGGAGATGGGGGCTAAAGGGGCAGGTGGCTCCATCCAGGTAGTGGTGGGCCTGAGTTCCCGACGGCCCCCGACTGTTACTTTGTGGCAGAGCGACATGGCAGGTTGAGACCACCTAGGAGAGAGGTGGGCCTGGCCCTGGTCGGCGTTCGCGGATACTTAAACACGCTTAATGAGATCTTGGTATTTGATCTGAGTCTGGCCACTGGCTTATACGCACTAACCATCTACTCGGGGACAGTTATGGGCACTCGACGTTGTGGTATCAACCGAAGCCTTCATGACGTCAGCGACTGAGCGGCGCGCGCCGGGTTGGACCGCGTAACGCAACTTCCTTTGTAATGGAGGTTGCTAGGTCTGCTCACCGGCCGCGTACGCAACATGCAGGTGTGCAATGGGCG